AAGTCCATCCACCTTCCTGTCAGAGCCCCGGGGCGAGGTTCCCAGCCCCACACTGTGCTGAGCAGGGACAGAAGCACCAACCCTGCCTGGCCGGGCTGAGTGAACAGTTTGGGTGGGGTTACCCTGCCTCTGGTTTTTTCCGGACACGTCCTCGATTTCACTCGTTAAATCTCCGGACGGCCAGCTTGTTTAAATGGCTAAAAATGCCCGTGATTTTGCGCTGCAAAGGGGATCAGGGTGGCGGCAGTGGCACGTGCCTGTCAAATTGAATGTTCAGAGCCACATGCCCAGACGTTTACAGCTGCTCTGAGCACGAAGCCCAGCACCTAGTGGGAAAAGCACCAGGCTACGGCCTTAGCAGTGGCTCTGGTGAGACTCAGGGGAGGTCCAATGCAGGGCAGGGCAGGTTTGGCTACTCCTGTGGAGTCACCGCCTTACCCTCAACCCTGCTAGATCATGTACCCAGCTTTGGGGGAGCAAAAGGGCATTGGGTTAGAGCAGGGGGGAGCGATTGCCTGACTGAGGGAGGGAAGGGTATTTGGTGGTTGGAGAATACTTGGCTCTGCAGGAGGGAACAGACATTGGGTTAGAGTAGGAGTTCGGGGGCTTCATGGCTTTGGGAGAGGGGTCGGTGCATTGGGTTAGAGCAGGGGGGTTGTGGGGTGGTTCTGGGGGAGGGCAGGAGCACTGGGTTAGAGCAGGGAACTGGGCATTAGAATTTCTGGCTTCTTTCTGTCCTGTCGGTGGGCAGCCTGGTCTGTTGGTTACATTTGGGGTTCCAGGCTCAGCCCTGTGAGGACTGAGGCAGCTGGCACTTGGTGGGGTGGGCAGGGCAAAGGAAGGGATTCTGGGAAGCAGGATTCCTGGGTTCCTTTTTGTGCCACTTCTCCCCTCTGTGCCTTTAACATCATGCCCCAGGACGGGCCCCAGCCAGAAGCCTCCCTGGCCTCCCACTCTCTATTCCTGGCCCCGCAGCAGCCTGGGCTGGCGGCTGGTTGGCAGCGCTGATGGAGGCCGCACAGCTGCATTATCTCGGGGCAGAGCGATGGGGAAGCGGAAGCCTGGCAAGTGGCGTTCCCTCGCACCATGAGAGCCTGGGGAGGCAACTGCAGCTGCGGCTGCAGTAAGGTGGTGGCCAAAGCCCTGAGCTTGGTGTGTACAGGGACGAGCTTTCCTGCTCTTGAGCCTGATCTCCCGTGTGAGTGGAGCAGCCGACCCTGCAGCAGCCCCAGCAGGCACCAGGTGTCCTCTTTTTGGAACGTTCCAATATAGCCCCCCTAAGTTTGAAAAAAAAAATTAAAACTCATTATAGTCACCCCAGTCCCATGGCAGCACTGGCAGCTCTTTGCAACAGACACACGGATACCTGCTCTCATGTCTGCTGGTTAGGCAGACAGGTGTCAGCTGGCCTTTGGCAATCCAATGCCAGTCACACTGTTCCAGTGGATCAGGTGGGCCAGCTGGTCTCTGTGGAAGGCTGCAGCAGTGCAGCCTTTTCTGGGCCACTTTCCTGAATGTGGGAATGAGCAAGAGACCAGATTCAGGTTCCCTTGTCCATGCTCAGTTGCCAAGGCCAGATCCAAACTCTGAGTTCCAACCATCTGCAGGTCCATCCCCTAGTTACTCCTGGAGTGCAGAACTTTGACGCTCCAAAGGCCTTCTAGTGACACAAACAAGGAATTCCCCTGAGAGGAAAGGGTTAAGAATTCCACAGCTAGCTGGGAATCCAGGCACAGGTCCTCCATCTATGGTAGTTACTTTGCAAATCCCTTTTCTGCTGCGTGTTTATGACAGTTCAGCTCCTGTCAAAGCTGCTGGCTCCTGCAGTGTGGCTGAAGAGGGGCCGTGTGTGTCTGTCCCTAGCCCAGTTATGCTGGGGCACACGGCAGCACAAAATGCTTCTCGTTCTCCAACTATTTTCTCTTCCTTATTTCAGATGAGGAGAAAAAGGCCCTTGAATCTGGTAAGTGGCTAAACCCCTACTTGATGTCTGTCAGCGCATTGAGCTGCGACATGATAGAAAAATCCCCTGTGTGATATAGAAACAAAATACAGGACTATGTAGCACTTTAAAGACTAACAAGATGGTTTATTAGATGATGAGCTTTCGTGGGCCAGACCCACTTCCTCAGATCAAATAGTGGAAGAAAATAGTCACAACCATATATACCAAAGGATACAATTAAAAAAAAAAAGTGAACACATATGAAAAGGACAAATCACATTTCAGAACAGAAGGAGGATGCAGGAGGGGAGAAGGAAGGTGAATGCCTGTGAGTTAATGATATTAGAGGTGGGGAAGGGTAGATGTCTGTGAGTTAATAGTATTAGCATGAATGCCAGTTCAGAGGATTCCCTTTCAAGTGCAGATTTGAATGTCTTCTGAAGTAGGATGCAGGTTAGCAGGTCATTGAGACAGTGTCCTTTCTGGTTGAAATGACAAGCAACTGTTTTTATGTATGCACTGAGTCACCTTCAAGATCATCTCCCCTCCCGTGGACAGTAACAGACCCGGCAGCCCAGATTTCAGAACCATTCATAACCGCCATGCATGAACTGAAGGTATCTAGGCAGGCAGGAGTCAGCTATCTCTGCACTGCCCAATGGCTCAGATTACGGGATGTGCATAGAAATGCCCGCCAATGTGCTCCTCTAAGGATGCTGTGTGGATGCTGTGGGGCTGAGCTAAAAGATTCCTATTTTGCTTTCATAAAGGCCTATTTGAAGAGGTCTTTCTGAATAGAAACCCGGTCCTTTTGGTGCGCTCCAGCAGCCCTGACACAGGGCCATCTCCAAGCTACACTTTGGTGGGCTCAGCAACTCACACGCATGGAGGCCGATGTAAGGGGCTGTGTAGACAACCTCTGAGTCGGGGGCAGAGCAGTGTCAATGTGTCAATTCTGAACATGTGTCAATTCTGGTGTTCACTGTGTCTGTTCCCATATGGGAGCTCCCTGCCTGCACCCAGCTCGGGAGGACACCTGACTCAGTGCCCAGGTGCAGGCCCAGCTACCCAAACCCTGCGCAAACCTGGAACTACTAGTGTCCCATGGAACAAAATGTTCCCTGTTATCGCAGCCCTGAACTCCACTGGCCTGTACTTTCCAACTTTCCTCCCTGGCCTGGGCCTCACATGAATGGAGATTGCAAAGGGAGCTCTGAACAGACACACATGCTCAAATAGCTGCCACAGCCCAAAGTGTTCCCCTGAGACCCAGGATAAGCTCTGACCCTGTGTATCTAGGGGCAGGAAGTAAATCCAGAGCCATACGCCCCAGAGAGCCCTGCCCAGCTCAGCTCCTGCAGACCACTGACCCTAGAGTTACACACTTGTCCAGATCAGCCCCACACAGAGATTTACATGACACAGAAATAGGAGGTTGCAACTGGTCAGGTCTCTTTCTGTGGGATTCGTGTTCTGGTGTGATGCTCCCTCCCTTCATACCCTGCCATGACAGCACCTGGGGATGCTGCCACTGGGCAATGTGTGGGCTCTCTTTAGGGGCTGATCTTGGACCTTCCCTGTTGTGCATTAACAGCAGCTTTTTTGGGCTGAACCCCTTCCATGCGTCTCCGCTGCAGCTGGGAGCGAACTTCCTAGCTTGGGAAGCCAGACACCCACTGGCTCTGCGTGAGTTGGTGCCCTGGTAGCAGAGTGACCAGAGCAGCAGGGATGCAGCTCAGAGTCGTCATCTGAGTAGCTGCACAGGGTGTCCAAGAAGACTTCTGCTTGAGCAGCCAGCCCACAGCGCTGCCCCTGCCACACCCACGTACTCTGCAACGTGTGGTACAAAATGGATGAGGCAGGGCCACTGCCTGCAGCACCACTCCCATTGTAAGACTCAGGACCAGAGGCAGTGCCCAGGTACCACAGATTGGAATAACCCACCTCCCGCCTCTCAAACCTCCCCTTGCTAAACCATCATGGTCTCCTTTTCTCTCTCTCCCCAGAATGCCGGGAGCTGCGTCGGAAGCAGGGTAAGTCCATCCACTTCCCCATTAGAGCCCCTGGGCAGAGGCTCTGGCCCTCAAATGATGCTGAGCGGATCTAGAAACACCAACAGCGCAGGGTAGGGCTGAGCGAGCAGTTTGGGCTGAAATCAGAGTCACACTAGAGTCACCCCGGTCCCAGCGCAGCCCTATGAGCTCCCTGCAGCAGACTCAGGGTTATTTGCTCTCCTGTGTGGATACAGTCAGGTGTCACCTGGCCTTTCCCAATCCAATGCCCAGCATGTTGTTCTGATGCAGGGAAGGGAGCCAGACACTTTCTATAGGTGGCTGCTGCAGCGCAGGTGCTGCTGGGTCACTGCTAGAACATGGCTCATGTTTCCTTGCTTTATTACCAAGGCCAGATGTCAGATGTGAGCCCCAATCATCTGCACCCCCATCCTCTAGTTAGCCCTGTAGGACAGAGCATGGGCACCCCAAATGGCTGTCAGAAATGCAGACAAGGATTTCCTCTGGGATGGAAGGGCTGGGAATGTCAGAGCTGTGTTGGGATCCAGACTCACGTTGGCCATCACTGTTAGATGCTTTGCCTATCCCAGGGCAACAGTGTGTTGGTACGTATCACTAACTGCCAACCGGCAATATCCTAGCAGGCTGCTGACTCCTGCTCTGACGATGGGATTCTGGCTGTGGGTGTCTGTAACTAACCATAGTCACTGTGGGGCACAGGGCCTCACCCAGCACGATTCTGCATCTCAGTCTGTTATCTTCCCCATTTCAGAGTCTCTGGAGAATGAGTTCAAGCGGCTGAAATCAGGTACCTGGATAATGGCTGGTAAACGTGTCTCTGCTTTCATGCTCTAATGCGATAGCAAAATCCCCACACCATGTATGGACTTTGTGATCATCCCCCTCTGCCCTGGAAATATTCACACACTGCAGGGTTGGCAGCTCACATTTCAGTATCATCCTCAATGACACCGAGTGTATTTAATGCCCATTGATCAGTGGGGAATAGAGAGGGGCTGGGAAAACTTCTACTGCAATTCTGGGACTGTCTGAATTCTGACCCCTACAGTCCCTGAGCTGGGATCCCCATGTGCACTCAGTTCTGCTGTTGCCCGTCGTCCCCCACCAGCAGCACCCTGCTATCCCAGCCCTGGGCTCACTGTCCCCAGAGAGTTGCCCGAGACTCTCAATCCTGCCCTGCAGATAGCGGTGTCATTAGGCTCTGCCAGCCATACAATTGCAGGGAACTCCGAGGCAGCCACAGGCCCCCTGAAAGCCAGATGCCACCAGCCAGGTATCAGCTGCTTTGCCGTGCTCAGTGCTACCCAGGGCTCTGCATGGTGTCCTCCGCACAGCCTGTCCTCGCACTGCCTGGAGTCCTGCCTGCATCCCCCGGTTAATCCAGCCCCAGGGTCCTCCCCCAACCCCAGCTCCATTGCATCCCTCAGTCCCCACCCACAGCTTCCCTGCTAGCCCAGCCCTCAGTTCCTCTGTCTTGTCCGATTCCCCCCTTCTAGGCTAGGCCTGGGCTTCCCATGCTCTGTAAGGGCTCTGTGCTGTGCACTTTCAGGAGCCCATCAGCCACTTTTTTCCATTAGGAATGGAGGGGTGGGAAGTAAATCCAGGTCCACCCGGGCCCATGGGGCCCTTCCTCAAATAAGCTCCTGCCAGCCACTGAGCCCAGAGACGCCCATTTATGCCAATGACACCACACGGTGATTGCCCGGCACAGAAATAGGAGGAGGTAACATTCCCAGTAACCTGTGGCTAATGGAAATTAATTCAGTTTTTCTCCCCAGTTCCCATCACCCTGGAATCAGAATGCAAACACCCTGTGGATGGCAGAACAGTCCAGCAGGAACCCCCATCCACTAGGTCAGCTGGCCCCTCCAGTTCCCTTGTCGCTGTGGGGAGGGAGGGGTTTGTTGCCAACAGGCATCATGGTGGGCAGGGTGGGGTTTCAGGTGGTACTGGGAGACAGATGTGGGGGACAGCCCAGCCTGGGAGCTGGGGATGCTGAGTGAGCCTGTGAGGGGCACACTGAGTCATGGGGGGCTGGAGAGTTTTCCCAAGGAGGGTTGTGGGCTCTGATCCACTGTGATCCAGAGCTGGGCTGTGACCCTAGCTGTGGTTGGGGTGTTTCTGGATGTAGACGGAGGGAGTCTCTTGTTTTACAGTGTCAGTTCAATGACCCTTATCCTGAAGATTCATGTGGAAAGTTCTGAGACATTGTTCCCGTTCCATGGCCCTGGTTCAGCTGCAGGGAGGAATGAGGGGAAGCCCCTCAGCATCCGCCCTCCCAGTGACAATCATGTCCCCAAGAATTAAGAGTCACTTAGTCAGGGATCTCCCAGAGCCCCTGGTGCCAGCAAGGGGGAAGGAGCAAGAAACAACACAGGGTCACCTGCCACAGGAGAAACAGCCCCAGTGCCTGTGTCTTCCCGTGTCCCTGGAAACAAGCAAGTGGGAAAAACCAGCTCAGGGCATCTGAGAGAGAAAACATCCGACAGCTGCTGCCACCAGTGTAAGTGGATAAGGTGGATCAAGCAAAGCAGGAGCAGCCACAGCTGGAAACAGTTTAAGCCCCCCCCCCCCCTCCTTGGGAGCAAAGGGAGCCATGCAAAGAAACATGATGTTTTCAAACTCAACTCCACAGGGCATCTCTGAGCCGATTCTCCAGCAACGATGAAGGAGGAATCAGATCCAATCCACAGCGCCTGGGAAGGAATCTCCCCTAAAGGGAAAACAGAGACGTGGGGATGTTCCTGATGTTTCCTCCTCCGTGAGCTCAAAGGAAACCCCCCCACACACTGACTTGTGATACTTAGAACTGAACCCCACATACATCGGACTGTGCTGATTGGCGGGAACTGTGTTAGTGTGTCTGTAAAATGGGGAAATTCCATACACACCGCGTGGGGATGTGGAAAGGGAGGGTTTCATAGTGGACCTGACTCACTCTCATTGCAGACATACACACACGTGGCTCCTGCCAGCTTCAGACACTGAGCAGCACCCCAAGGGTTGAGTCCATTCCTCTAACTGCCCCTGGGCTCTGGCCGGGCTCACAGGGATCAGGGACGATGCTGCGGAAGCTTCTCGTGGAACAAGGACGTGGGGAAGTTCAGACACTGTTGGAAATTGCCTCCCTCAGGAGGGAGGGGTGACAGCGTTTGTGTCCCCCACAGGCTCTCACTCGGGAATTCTCCTGCTGGATCAACCCCAGATGCCCTCAGCAAACCCTGATTTCAGAGAAACCACATTTCCTTGGGGCATTTCTCCACCCAGGAAATGCTGATCAGACTGGTGCTCTGCTGCTTCTTCCACTAGCCCTAGGCAGGAGCCGAGAGGGGGAAAGGAGCAATGGGGAAGTGCCCCCAGCTGCTGCCTGTGTGCAGGGAGCTGGCAGAGGATGAAATACACCCTGTCTGTGTGTCCATACACCCTGTCTGTCTGTCTGTACAGCCTGGAGCTCTCTGTTCTGGCCACTCCTAGACCACCAGGCCTTCACCAGGTGCTGGAGGTGGATCATCTGAGCTGGGCTGTTCTAAACTCCCAAGGACGGCAGCCAAAATCCCACCCATTCCCAGAGCAACACAGTGATACCGGTATGAACTAGATATACTCAGAGGTGGGGGCGGGGAGTAGTCACAGGACCATTCACAGAATCCCAGAGATTCCCCCAGACCCCATTTCTGCTTTGCCCCATCTCCCTCCAATCCCTTCAAGGCCAAATCCAACCTCCAAGGAGAGCTCTCTCCAGGCCCATCAGTGCTGTGTGGCCCATGGCCAAACTCACCTGTGTGTGGCCCAGGCTCTCCTCATGTAGTCTCATGGGTGGTGATGGTTTAGAGGCTTTGCCCCAGGAATGTCCCTGTTAAAAATCTGGGAGAGTGTCAGAAATGGGAGGGGGGAATTTGGGGGTTACTTTTTATTTAGAGAAAACTTTTTTGGCACTTTGTCAGGCAATTCCAGCCCAGAATAGTACTTGATGTCATTTTAAGTTTTGATAAGAAAAATGGCTGGAAATTTCAGTGGTTTGTCTCCCCCTCCCCTTGTTCCCATTTTAGGGGCTGAAGAAACAGTGGGGCTGTGTCTACATTGGCAAGCTGCTTTTGCATAAAATCTTGCCATCTGTCTACACTGGCCGCAAGTATTTGCGCAAGAACACTGACATTCTAATGTAGGAAATCAGTGCTTCTTGTGCAAATATTCTGATGCTCTCGCTCAAGGATAAGCCCTCTTGCGCAAGTATTCTTGCGCGAGAGGCCAGTGTCGACAGGCAACATTAATTTCTTGCGCAAGAAAGCAAGAAAGCTAAAATGGCCGCTGGAGCTTTCTTGAGCAAGAGAGTGTCTACACTGGCACGGATGCTTTTGCGCAAAAGCACATCTCTTGCGCAAAAGCACATGCCAGTGCAGATGTTCTCTTGTGCAAATACTTTAACGCAAAAACTCTTGCATTAAAAGTATTTGCACAAAATCTTGCCAGTGTAGACGTAGCCTAGGAGTGTTGCAAAGAACTTCCCTCCCCATTTGAGTTGTATAAGTTGGATTTTTAATAAAGAAAGAACATGCATATTAACTACAAAAATAAATGTCAAGCAATCATAAGAGATAGCAAACAGAGCAAGGCAATGGATTTCAGGAATGCAGATTTTAGTAAGCTCCTGAAAGTAGGAATAAGGGATGTTCCGGAAAAGGGCTTATTTTCCGGAAAATCACGTCTAGACTGGCGCTTTTCTCCGGCAAAACCCCAAGCCGGAAAAAAGCGGCAGCCCTGTTTATTTAAATCCCACGGGGGATATTTATTCCAACTTATCTCATTAGCATCCTTTTCCCGGAAAAGGGTGCCAATGTAGACGTAGCCTACAGGTATGCAGGGGCAAGATTAGAAAGGCGAAGACACAAAAAGAGCTAAATCTATCTAACGACATAAAGGTTAACAAGAAGACTTTCTGTAAATATGTCAGAAGCAGGAAGAAGACCAAGGACAGGGTAGGCCCACTGCTCAGTGAGGAGGGAGAAACAATAACAGGAAATTTGGAGATAGTAGAGGTGCTTAATGAGGGGATTTAAATAAACCCCGCTTCATGAAAATAAAAATGGCCACCGTGCTGTGCCGGCTCAGCTGATTGTTGGCACAGCGCGGCAGTCAAGACGTGGATTGCTCAGCAGGGAAAGCCTTTGCTGACCAATCCCTTATGCTGGACAAAGCAGAGAAATGGTCTGAGGTAAATAGGATGAAGTTTAACAAGGACAAATGCAAAGTGCTCCACTTAGAGGTGCGGCAGGGTGTTGCTCTGCCCTGGCCCTTTAAGGGGCTGAGAGTAGGGAGTCAGGGGAAGCCCAGCTGTGGCAAATGAGGAGGGCCCAGCTGGAGGCGATAAGAACAGCTCCTAGGAGGCGGAGAGGGAGACTGCTGGGGAAGGAAGAGGCTCCATGGAAGAAGGCAGGATTGGGGAGGCTATGGCAGGATGAACCCAGGCTACCTGGCCTGAGGCCCAGTGCTGCAAGGAGGCAGTCACGAAGGGCCAGGGCAAGCATTGAGGCAGCCCTAAAAGTCCGGGCTGTGAAGGAGGCAGCCATGGCTAGTATGGAGGGAGCTGTGGTAGTCGGGGGAGCTTGAGCCAGAGAAGCCCCAGGCCGTAAGACCAGGCGGCAGTGTTTCAGGAGGCAACCAGGCAGGCAGAGGCGCGCCTGTAGCCAGGGAGGAGTGGCCTGGAGATACTGCAGTCTGCCCGGAGGGGCTATTAAGGGACTGGCAGTGGGCCACTGAGGCCAGGATGGCGTCGAGGGAACTGGGTGTTCCCGGGGCAGAAGAACTGGGGGTCCTAGGGAGGACTCTGGACTATAGAATAATGACTCCCCCCATAAGGGGGCGCAGACTAAACGGAGTGGTCACTACCGTAAGGCAGTACCCCGAAGACCACCACCACACACAAAGGGGGCGTGCTGGTGGCAGAACATCCAGCTACTTCTCCCAAAAGCCACCCTGAGGGAAGAAGCTGTGTGGAAAAAGTTTAGAAAATAGAAGACTGAGAGGGGACATGTTATCAGTTTTCAAGTACCTAAAAGTGTTACAAGGAGAAGGGAGAAAAATTGTTCTCCTCAGACTCTGAGGATAGCATAAGAAGCAATGGGCTTAAACTGCAGCAAGGAAGATTTAGGTTGGACATTAGGAAAAACTTCCTCCCTGCCAGGGTGGTTAAACACTGGAATTGCCTAGGGAGGTTGTGGAATCTCTGTCATTGGAGATATTTAAGAGCAGGTTAGATAGACATCTATTAGGGATGGTCTAGACAGTGCTTGGTTCTGCCATGGAGGACAGAGGACTGGGCTCGATGACCTCTCGAGGTCCCTTCCAGTTCCAGTGTTTTATGATTCTATGGTTCTATGATTCTATGAATACTGACCAAAATACAAAACACTTAACTACAGTTAATATACAACAAGTAATGATTGGCTACAAGTAGTAATTTTTTCACACCAAATGTTGTTCAAAGTATCTACTTCACAGGCCAGACATCTTTCCAGCCTGGGTCCTGTCCCTTTTTTCCTCAGTTCAGTCCTAAGTGTTTTCAGATGTCATCTTGGGTAGGGATTCCATGAAGAGAAGAACCAACCTTGATTATTTTACTCCCTGGCATTACATAGGATTCACATAAGATGAGAATCTTCTATTTCCTTATTTGATTCCTCCCTTTCAATGGAAATGTAGCAGCAGTGTCCAAGATGGTAGTTTGTACGAGGTGATATCATCTCATGGCCCTGCAGTAGCAAAGCAGCGTCCCAGGAACCCTCTCAGAAATGTGGAAGATTAGTATCTTCGAAGTTTTATTGTCCTTTTAAATGGCCCAGCTAAGCTGACTGCCTTCTGTCTGGTGGGCGTTCTCCAAGTATACACAGTTATAATTGTTACACAGTGTCCCTAGCCTTCCAATATAGAAATGATATATGCATACACATAGGATAATTACATTTAATAAATCATAATCTTTCCAATGGTACTTTACATGACCCATGTTATATAAACCTCTCTTAGTGATGGCATTCAGATCATAACAATATTTTTTGAAGAATATGGGGAGTAACATCACAGTCTCATTCTCCTCTTGCAAGTGTCTCCTTGGCACAGTGTGCTTGCCTGAACTTTCTTTTTCTGTTTGTTTCGGCTCTGGAATAGAGCAGTGCCCAGGGCTTCCTCCCTGGAGACAATGTCTTCAGCCTACTTGGGTCTTTCTGGTCATAGCTCTCCAGCTGGACCACTACAGTTCCATTCCCTCTCTGAGGTGCCTCCGTGTCCAAGCCACTCCCCACCATGGGGTAATAGGAACTCCCACTCATCAACTATGCCAGGTACCACGCTTGGAACCTATAGACAGCAGCCACCTGCTGTGTCCCTTTATCCAAGTCACCCTGCTGCTCTACTTTTCTGGGCCAATTCTCTGTAGCCCACCACTGTCTTCACTTTTACCTCCAGGTCTTATCCTGATGGAGTCCCAGCAACCAGCACAGGCCTCTCTCTAGCTCTCCCTGGCTTCTGGCAGCAGTGCCCTGTCTGAGGTTCTGCAGCTCCATCAGCCAGCCACACACCCTCCACACACCTGCCGCTTCAGTAAGGAACTGGATTTACTCTGGTCCTGCAGCTCTTCTTATACTGCTCTGCTGGGCCCTGACTGGCTGCATCCAAACAGCACTCTGGGGAGCTTGATGGAGCCTCTCTACTGCTCTTTTCTGGGGCAAGTTGTTGAAGGGCCACAAATACCAAACCAAAAAAACCCCCAAAACCTCACCTCATTTACTGTTTCAGTTCTTCCGACCAGGGATACTAATTTCTGTGGGTCCTGACCAATCTGTCATCACATTGTACCAAAGAGTTGAGGGCAGGCTCCTCTAATACCCCTACCTCCAGAAGGTATGCCCTTTGAGAGGGGAGGGATCAATGGTGTGGGCTGCCTAGAGAGAAGTGCCCAGGGCCACCAATACATAGAGATCGAGGTGGACTGTGCCACATGATATCCAGAAGTGGGCCCCATGCACTCAATAATGGCATGGACTATAGCACAGAGTTTGTTCAACTTTTGACCCAAGCAGGGTCTTCTGGCTTGCTCCATTAAGAGAGAAAAGGGCTGACAGAGTCAGGTATGTGTGTTGAACCAGTCCTGTTTATTTACATAACATCTACAAAATCCGGTGTCCCTGAAGGCAACAGAAGCCAAACTCCAGGAGGGACTTTTCTTTTGGTTCTGGGTCCAAGCCTCTTTCCAGCCAACAGTCTGGTGGGTTTAGAAGCCGAGACCCCCTCCCCATATCAAGGGGGGTTGCCCTGTAACCTGGTGACATCTGTGCTGTGCTGTATTCTGGAGAGGCAATAAACTCCCTCTGTTCTACCGGCTGGCGGAGTCTGTTCGTGCCCTTTCGGGGGTGCAGGAGGCGGGGGACCCCAACGCGTCGTCACACATTGCCACTGCCACGTGCCTTCCTGCTCTCTGTGGCTCCTCACCGACCGGTCCTGCTAGGCCAGCTCTGCTGGTTTCCCCCAGCCAAGGCCCCGAGCTGAGGTTCCTGCCCCCACTAAGAAGCAGAACTGACATTGAACCTTTTCATGTCCAAGGAAAGTGCAGTTTAGGGCCCAGCCTCCTGAGGTAGCACTCCCCAGATGGGATCCAACCCCAAAGAATTAGGTAAGCCCCTGTAACAATGAAAGGGGAGACGTGTAGACTGGTTTAGGTGGCTAACATAAAAGCTTTATTGATCAATAAGGCACAAAGTGAGCGAAAGGTGAAAGCAGAGCCGGGCCCAGTAAAGCTGTTCAACACAATCAGTCCTAGTATTTTATACCCTTAACCAAACAAGTCTGACGTCAGGGCAAGAAATCAAAGCGAACTTCAAAGAGAAACTACTATCAGCAAAGAAAGAAACAGGTATCAGGGAGTAGGCGCTCCAGCTCAAAATAGTTCATCAACGCCTTCCAACAGCTCATCGTTCTGGCTTTTCTCACATTGGTGAAGGTCAGTTCACTCTCTAGTATACATGCAGAAACAAGAAACTTAAAATGGCTTCTGTTATATGAAATG